TGGGGTCCACCACTGGCTGAAAGACAAGCACAAGTCACATGTCACATGTGAGAGTCACATGTCGAGTCACAGGTGACACCCTGTGGCCCGTGACAACTGCTGTGCTATTGCCCGAACCATGGTGATGGCCCTATCCCCAGTCCGCAGTTGCTGCCCCTGATTACCCTGTCCCTGCCTTGTGCTCCAGAGGACCTCGCCTGGCTACTGACCCCATGTGCGTGACACAGACTTTCTGATTCATAACTACACGCCCCCTGACTCCGTTACTACATGCCACCCATCCCCCTCCCCAAGTCCCGGATGTTTGACTCCTTGGCTGTTAAATACCTGGCTGCTGATTTTCCACTCCTGACGCCATAAAACACAGCCCCCTAGCCCCTGACTCCTTGGCTCCCGATTCCTGATGTTGGAATTCATGACTCACTGACAATTTTTCCCACTTGTGACTATGGTCTCCCGGAATCAGAGTCTCTGCCTTCTGCGTCTTTGTTTATGACGTTTTCTTCTGACCCCTGACCCCCACGACTAATTTCCCTGTCCCTGATTTCGACCCACTGAATCGTCCCTCCGACTCCTTCGCCCCCCGACTCCCGACTCCCCCGCCCTGTTTATGACGTTGTCTTCTGACTTCTAACCCCCACAATCAATTTATGCCTTTCGCTGCTTTTGACTCACTGAACCGTCCCATCGACTCCCTCGCCCTCTGACTCCCGACTCCCTCGCCCCTGACTCCCGACTCCCCGCCCTGACTCGCAAGCTCACCAGTGCGAGCCGCTTCGCGCCGATGCACCGGTCGGGTCGTCACGCGCCGTCACTGCCAACATCGGCCGGCCGGTGCCACCTTTATTAGCCGGCGCTGATTGGGTTCATTAGCGTCATTACGAACTGTCTGCCGGGGCGGCGCAAGTGTCACGTGTGTCACCATCAGGTGCGGCCGCCGGCACCGGCGGCCCGCTGTCGCGCGCGCGCAGACCGCTCCGTCCGGGTCGGAGCAGGGCTTTGGCTTTGACTGTGGCTCCGTTCGGCTTTGACGAGGGCTCTGTCCGGGGCTCCGTTGGGCTCTGACGAAGGCTCCGTTCGGGTTTGACCAGGGCTCTGTCCGGTGCTCCGTTTGTCTCTGACGAGGGCTCCATTTGGCCCTGTTCAGGGCTCTGTCCAGGGCTTTGTCAGGGGCTCTGTCCGGCTCTGACCAGGATGCCGTTTTGCTCTGACTAGGGCTCCGTTTAGCACTGACCAGGGCCTCTTGTGTTTCGGTTAGGGAGTTTTATGCTGCAAATGACTGAACTTTTATGCGGCAGAAATACTACGAATGGCCTTATATCATGAATGCTTAGAAAATATTTTGGCATAGCTCCGAGTTCTCCCATAAAATACACCATAATGACTTTCTGTTAGGTGTTTTTTTTTAGCCACTGCACCCCCCTGGTATGTGGAATGTTGGTCATTTTCTAATAGCACCCTCAAAATCTTAAGTCCATCCTAAGCTTTGCCCTTGACGTCTTCTCTGGCACTGGTCTTGTTGTATCAACTCCTGCTAAATTGTTTTTGTTTTTAAAGGAAACGTGACGTACGTCGCCACGCACCCTTTTATGGAGCGCTAGCGACTTCAGGGACTTGCAATAGCGCTGGGGGGGGGGGGGGGGGGGGCAAGGCGCAGCCGGGATGCAAACCCGGGAACCCCCGTGAGAGATGAAGGCGCTAAGCACTTGGCTATCACGCCTCCAAGTGTTTCTGACATAAAGGGGTGCATTCAGGCCCGGATATCGCAAAAAAAATACAAGGAAGACACGGGCTTAGCACGTGGTCACAAATTGTCCATCTCCGTTGACAGCCGTCTCCGCGCGAAGGGAGTCATCCGTGCAAAAGTCTAGTCTTTATTGCACGTGCGATATGAAACGTGATCAAATAAATGAAATAATGGTATGTAATAGTGGTAATAATGGTAATGACGAATCATGATAATAGTGATGGTGATAAAAATGGTAACAATTGTAATAGATATGGTGGTGATGGTAACACAAATAAGCGTAAAATGTTAAAATGATGATAAAATGGTAATAATTGTAATAAATAATGGTGGTGATGATGATGGCAACAACAAATGGTAATATTGCTAAAATAAAGATACTCTTTTAACGAAATTGCGATTGGATTTGGTTGAGCAACGCCTGAACAGCTGGATGTAAAACTTGATGTTTGTTTCCATGTTGTGCTTAGCTTGGGCCTCATCCAGGGTTGTCACTTCCTGAGCTCGGTTAGGGGGGGGGGGGGCTCAGCCCATAAGGTTGACCTGAGCTACCCCTTAGCGCGATTTTCCCCCAGATTTCGGCCACTTGAGTAAATTCATGGATATTGCATTCAAAGAGCAATACTTTCTAGGGGTTCGTAAATTCGTTTTTTTTTCTGCGGAGGAATGACTTCCCATTTCAAGAAAATGTAAGCTACGTCTTTGTTAAAAGCTTAGAATGGGATGTTATTCACAAGAACAATCTTCCGAAAATCTCAGTAAAGGACCACTGATGTCTGCCGCTGTAGCTGATCGTGTTGCATAACCACCACGACCACGAGTATACGACAAATGCACTTGCCACTGTTGGGGCGGACGTGCGGCAATTTTTAGCTGGGATCCCATGCACTTTTAAAAGCTGCCGCACATTGCGGTCAGCTGTCCTTTATCAAAACCCAAGTGTTGTCATTTGAGGGGGGAAAATAAGCTCGTCAAACATTGGTACCTACACGATACTTCTTGGAACAAAATGAACGTGATACTGGTAGTGATGTGGTTAGGTACCTGCTACCTAGCATACTAACGAATATAATTGTTTTGGATTTATTAGGCCCAGTAATTCCTTCGTTGCTCATATGCGTTAAAGGGGGGGGGAAGGGGCTCAGAGAATCATTGGGGGAGGGGCTCAAGTCAGCCTTGTGGACCCGAGGCCCCAAAAGGATTTGAACTGACTTCCCTGACCTCAGCTGCTACCAGTCTTGTGTTTGTAACTGTATCGAGCAGTTCGGGGAGATTTGTGAGAAAACCATGAGTTTTTTCATAATGTATAGTACAGCCTTCCGTTCTGTTTGTTTCACGTTTTACATGCCGTCGTCTCTTCTGCCCTTTTTTGTTCATTTCACGATATCGCGGCAGGGTGTCTCGCTTTCTCTCTTAACTACGCGCTACTTATCTTTCTATGTCGGTTTCCACTTCCCCATTGTGGATTCCTCTGCGTGTTACATAGTTCTCTCATCTCTCAGATTCGGCTTTTGTTTGCATTGCCATGTTCTTTGCAGTGGCCTTGGCAGACTTCTTTTCATGTTGTTGATTATTAACTTTAGATTGTTAGCCACCGGACGCTCAGCAGACCACGTGAATAGTGGCACGCGCTTAATAATTTAGAACCATGTTATGTCGACTTTCAGTGCACACAATTTGGTAAACGAAATTTCTGCACAAGTGGCCACGCCCCACGCAATGCTCTGATTTGACCTTCATTGCTCCAAAACTGTAGCTACGTAGATGCAACGAATGGTGGAGAACTTACCGATAACGTTAATTTTTCCATTTTGCCATCAAAGCCCGTGGTCCAACCGTTTCATGACAAGTTTGCAAGACCACTGCACGTGGTTGCAAAAATATGTATGGGCTCAAAGTTGGCAGCACGGTTCCGATTTCACCTGATTTATGCTAACGACATGTGACAAGCAATAAGTCGCCACAAGGATTGTCTTAAGATTGTCAGTAAATGCTAGCGCTTAGAATTACGATTACATAACATCGAGAGCGAGTGGATGTTTGCTGTTTCATGCGTAGACAGATAATGTGCTTGTGGGTAATGGCCAGATGATTTCAATTACCGGTAATATGCCGCACAGCTGGTCGTTTCATGACAGTTTGGCCTTGGTTGAAGCCGTTTCGTTATACAACGATGGTAAGTGTAAACTGAGGCGTCACGTACACACCGAGCTATTGTAAAATGAGGCGTTACATACACACCGAGCTATTGTAAAATGAGGCGTCACATACACACCGAGCTATTATAAAGTGAGGCGTCACGTACACACTGAGCTGTTGTAAAGTGAGGCGTCACGTACACACCAAGCTATTGTAAAGTGAGGCGTCACGTACACACTGAGCTGTTGTGAAGTGAGGCGTCACGTACACACCAAGCTATTGTAAAGTGGGGCGTCACGTACACACCAAGCTTTTGTAGATCAAGAACCTTAAGCTTTAGAGCAAGAACTCAGGGCTCCATGTCTTCGAACTCAAAGCTCAAGAAACCGTGCGGCTCAAGCTGAAGTTGCGTACTTAGGGTCTAAACCCGGCTCATTACGAAGACACTGTAGAGACAGGCGCAGACGCATTGAGTCAGCGCTGACCTCTGACCCCGAATGGGGCCAGCATCGCGGGGCCATCACACATTGCCTTCGGGGTGTGTGGGGGGGGGGGGCGGGGGGCGTCGGCAGTCCTGCTGAGGCCAACCGTCCGCCAGCCGCCGCCGGACGCAGTGCAGTCAGCTGCGTCAGCGGCAGCGGGTGTGGGCCGTGATGTTGGAGGATGATGTACGTTGATGAGGAGATGGCATGATTGACCAGGGATTTAGGTGACGTGACTTCTGTGTTGCGGGAGAGGGGAGGGGAAAAGTGTGCCATGCAAGGACGCGCGATGACGGGTGTCGTGCTTCCTTGGATAAAACTACTTCGGTCATGAGCATGACTTCAAGCGATAGCCATTCGCACCAACCACTACCGTCTCGGTTCTGTTCTCAGTCAACTCCGGCAAACATAGACCGATCTCTCCGTTCGTCCACAGGGCGGTACTGTGGTTCTGGCATGCTGCCAGATCTTGTCGTGTCGACGGGGCGCCGCCTGCTGGTGACTTACAGAATCACTGAGTTGTCTGCCGAACGCGAGGGATTTACAGCCAACTACACGGGTAAGATATACCGGTTGGTGCAGTCCTGTTCGTGCACTTCGGTCACGGCCTTCAAGTTCGTTTTCTCTTGAGATTTAAACGCTTTCAACCACCGCCGCTGTATACATTGTCTTGGCATTCGTCGGAAACGCTTCGGTCATGATCTGCATTGCCGCACCTTAAACGCACCGACCTTCATACTCAATGCTACCGTGACCTCCGCGACACGAGTTTGGTCAGTGGAAGTTTCGGCGTCCGCCTTCGTTGGTGCGAGCCTGCGCGACAGCGCAGCTGCCCGAGTCGGTACATATCAGGGAGGTGAAGTTGACGCTAGAGAGCGGCAGTGTCTGCGGATGACATGATGGCGACGATGCCGCAGCGGTGTGCGGCGGGGAGATGAAGATGAGTGACGGGGTGCTTGAGTCTCCCAACTACCCCGAGTACTACCGACCCAGCAAGGACTGCATCTGGAAGATTACCGTCGAAGAGGGCCACAAGATCGCTTTCGAATTCACCGCATTTGAGGTAAGTAAGCCAGAGAAGGTGACGTCGTTGGGGTGAGGTTAGATCAATGAAGGTCGTATGTATGGTCAGTTGAGGTCAGGGTCATGTGAGGTCAGGTGAGGTCAGGTAAAGTGAGCTGCCTGCACCCAAAACTGGTGCGCTGCAGACTTTTGTCCTCAGAGTGGGGGATGAACCATTGCTAAGTGAGAAATAGTGTGAATGGTGTCAATGGTTTACTAGGTTTCCATTCACCAGCTCCACCAGGGTATCAAAATCGCCCAAGCAAAAAAATGGCATGGAGGCCAAAATGTCGGGCTCAATACCCCGAGGATGGCCGAAATCGGCTGAAAATTCCATTTATCCATGCACGGTGTACCATTGTTGCGAAAAACATCCCAATCTAAGACCTCGATGACGTCCATACAAGGTGTCATTCTCCACCCAAAATCTTGAATTTTGACACCCTGTCCACTGGGGCGTGGTGTCGTATAAACTTGGTGGCCGTGTGCACTGATTAATAAGCTAGCAATTGTGATGACGTCCGGCAGCCTTCTCATAACAACGATGGGCTCGCAGGTGGCTGGAAGTGACTTTGCAGCATTTCGTCAACAGTTCCAGCGTTTTAGGGAAGATTCCATTTACAGTGGCTGTCACTTTGTAAACTAACGCCGCACTTCCAACGCTCCTGGTCAGCAGAGATGGGTTTGCGCGCATACTTAAAAACCTGCGTTTCTGCGAGCTCTGTACACGTGCACACCCACCAAACAGTCGTGTTGAATGAGACTAGTTGGCTACACAAACCACGTTGACGCATCGGTCTGTTCTCTCGACTTTGATAGGTGGAAAACCACGACAACTGCTTCTATGACTACGTGGAAGTCAGGAACGGGCCCACTGATGACTCGCCCCTGATCGGGAAGTACTGCGGGTAAGAACGTATGGTCAGAATGCACCAATGCGCCGTTTTCAAAAAGACTTTATGGGCAGCTTGTCTCTTTTGTTGGCCCCGTGCTGGGTGCGCCTCTGCACTGTCCGCCGCTGGACGCGCCTCTGGTGGCGGCCTGCGAGAGGTCAGGTGGTGCAGGCCCGGTCAGATTTCAACAGGCGGACCAAGCGTGGCGAGAAATCATGGAGGCTGGAATGCAGGTTGTGACGCTCTCTTTCCCCTCCGTTGTCAAGATTTCACACAAATTTGGATTTTTTGCGTCTTATGCATCGTCCCGAAACTGCACAGTTTGTTTAAGCCTTTTCAACTCTATAAATTTTCACCCTCACGTTAATAATGGTTGTTGTTTCTGGCTGAAATGAAATTTGTGATGCCACGCTGGCAACATTTCCTTACGATATGAACGCGCACCGCAAAACATCATCAAGTGGGCGACCGGGGGGCCTCGCTGGGCGCGGTTGTGCCCCGCCTTCCATAACACCACCCAGTCGGAACCGAGCGCAAATGTTCTCACTGAGCACCAGCGGCCTAAGACCAGCTGTGACCTATATCCAGCTGTGACCTGTGACAAGCTGTGACCTGTGACCATCTGTAGCCTTTGACCAGCTGTGACCAGCTGTGACCTGTGACCAGCTGCGACCTGCGACCAGTTGTGACTTGTGACCAGTTGTGACCTGTGACGAGCTGTGACCAGCTGTGACCGGCTGTGACCAGCTGTGACCTGTGACCAGCTGTGACCTCTGGTCAGCTGGGACCTGTGGCCAGCTGTGGCTTGTCCATCCGTGACCTATGTAGCTGTGACCTGTGCAGCTGTGACCTGTGCAGCTATGACCTTTGTACTTGTGACCTGCACAGCTATGGTCTGCAGCGGTGACATGTGATCAGCTGTGACCTGGACCTGCCGATACGCGATGACTCTGTAACGTTTTACCAGCTTCACCCGTGAGTTCTCAGATCCGCTTTGGGCCGTCTTGCCATGCTTCACACGTGCTCCCACGCTTTCACACATGGACGACGGACCCACGCTGATCGGTCTGCTTGTGTGTTATGGTTGTAAGTCTGTGCTGCGCGAGCTGCCGTAAGCCGACTGTGCTCTGAGCCGTGCCGGTGTGAACCCCTCTTGAATCGGAACACGCGCGGCCGTCTGCAGGTACCAGCTGCCGGAGCCGCTAACGAGCTCGAGTAACAACCTTTGGGTCAGGTTCGTGTCGGACGGCAGCGTCGAGAAGCCCGGCTTCTCGGCTACCTTCATGACAGGTGAGCATCCGATGTCAGCCGGCCATCTGACCCAGAGTTAGGGCTAAAGGTAGAGTTCAAAGCGCAGAGTTCGGGGGACATTTCTCAGAGGTTAGGGTTCAGAGTTAGACAGGAGGGTACAAAGAGTTTAGAGCAAAGAGTTCGGAGGACATTTATCAAAGTTCAGAGTTCAGGGTTAAGAGGTAGAACGCATGGTGATGTCGTTCCCAGCGTACTTGAGGATGAAAAATGGTGCTGGCTGGACATCCATGGTGATATGATGACGTCATACCAAGCGGCGCCAAATAGTTATGACTGGCACCCGTTTCTTGCGTTCTCACGGGCCCTGCCGGTACACGTACTCCTACGCTGTGTATCGAACACTGCCGTGTCCATTGCGCTATATGTCCTTCTAACGTTTATTCATCATAGTGAAAAGCTCTGGTTTTGACAAAAATCGGCTTCAGCGACTCGCGAATTGATGATCAAAAGATTTGAGCAGACAAGCATTGGCTATATTAATCCAGCTTAATGCTCGTAAACTGAGTCTTTTTCAGTATGGCCAATACTTGCCTGATAATTTGGCGTGGCCGGAACCTCCAAGTACGGAAATGTGTACTGAATTGTCGTTAGTATACTGAAATGTACTAAAATGTTGTCAGTGGAAGGAGGTCGTGCTGAAAAGCCAGAAGCTCAAGACCTTTATTGCCTACATCAAGTACAACTCATTATTGATCTCGTCTGATTCATCTGACCCCTTCGACCCCCTCCAATCTGGATCCCATCCCCATTCATCTGGCCCATTCGTCCAGTCATTCGTACCCGTTCCAGCTCGTTTCATCTTATCCCTTCTTGTCCACCTCGTCCCAGCTCGTTCCATTCAACCTTCATCTAGTTCTTGCGCTTGTCATAGACAGGCTCATCCGTTCAATTTCGTCACATAGGTCTCGTCATTTCAGTTCGTTCCAATTCGTCCCATTCGTGCACTCGTCCCACGTATTTAGCTCGTACCCATTTGTCTAGCTCGCTCAAAAATTTCCCACCCGTTCAAATTTTTTCTCCTGCCGTGCCCATTCCAACTGATCCCAATCGCCCAGCACACCCGAGCTCGTCTGTCTTGCGCTAGCTCATCCGGCTCGTCCAACACACCCGAGCTCGTCCGCCTCCTTCTAACTCATCATGCTTGTCCCGGGCAGAGCTGGACGAGTGCTCCGGCGATGCTCACGGCTGTGAGCACAGCTGCATCAACACGCGCGGCAGCTTCAAGTGCGCGTGTCGTATTGGCTATGAGCTGCACTCCGACGGCAAACGCTGCGAAGGTCAGTGACCGAGTTATGTGCGGCTAGTGGATAAGTCGGCGTTGCGGGAGGTTGTTTGCCTATCCCGGGGTTCGATGTCTTGCGTTCGGACGCTTGTTCGGGGAGATGCTAGGGTTTGGTCTGCCTTGCGCGGGAGCTTTTCCTGGTTAGTTGTGCGATCATGTTTGCGATCATGTTCGATCATGTTGGATCGTGTTTGCGATGAACTTTGATCTGCTAGCGGCTCGATTTGTTTTATCGGAAGGTTTGTTCGGCGGTAGGTGTGCAAAGCTAGGCGTTTATGCGTAGTAGGAGACATCCCAGTGCCAAATCAGCGCTGGCACGTGCTGCTGGTGTGGCCACTACTCGCCACGTGTCGTCGTGCACTGCCACGTGTCGTCGTGCACTCTGCTCGCCACGTGTCGTCGTGCACTCGCCACGTGTCGTCGTGCACTGCCACGTGCGGTGACTTTACGGTGCTATCGCCGTCACGCGTCACATCGCTTCACTTCATGTGGTGCTGGGATGACAACATTTCACCACGTGTCGCCCGTTGCCACCCCTTGTCAGCACGTGTCATCGCGCGTTACCACGTACCATCACGTGCCGTCCCTTGTAAGCACATGCTATCGCGCGCCACCACGTGCTACCTTGTGCCATCACACACCACATGACATCACGTGCCACCATGCGCCCCAACGTCCCCGCGGTCACGACACGTACCACCACGTGTCTCCACGTGTCACCCCACGTGCTCCAGAGGCGTGCGGCGGCACGATCGAGGCGGAAAACGGCACGGTGACCTCACCGTCCTTCCCGGAGCTGTACCCGCGCAACAAGCGCTGCATCTGGGAGGTGCTGGCGCCGCCCCGACACCGCATCACCCTCAACCTCACCCACTTCGACCTCGAGGGCAGCAACGTGAGTCACGTGAGTGAACGCGACTCGAGTCGCGGCGCGGACTCGCGATGGCGCTTGACTCGGCGCTCGTCCGAGTTCGGCGTGTGTCGGCGCGTGGTGCATTTTGGGACTTTCAACGGAGGTGAGTTCGTAGTTGCATGTGTGATCGGGGGGTTAACCCTCGTGCTGGACTTGTGACAGTGTGGTCAGGGTTTGGTTAACGCGACGAGCTTTGTTTTTAGGTCACAGCTGCAGGCGACTTGAGTGACGGCGTTGCCAGTGAGCGTTGTAGTTAATTAAATGCTTTGTCGATATGTTTTCGAAACTTGAGGGGGTAGCTTGAAGGCGGTGGTTTTCAAGGTGGAAAACGGCGAAGAGGGGTGTTGATTTCCTTTGAGGAAGGGAGTGGAGAACGTATGAACAAAAGCGCAACTTTGTTGCAAATTGGGGTGGGGTTTGGCACTGCTGGAGTTCTGTTACACATCTTAGCGATAGTATATAATATGGTATATATTGGGCTACGCAATATAGTATAGTATATTGCTTAGCCCAATGCCTTGTTGGGTCACGCAATATGCAGAGAGTGCTTGCAGAGTGTTGCAGTGCCAGGACATGTTGAAGCCCTCAAGGGTGGCCAGTATGATGGGGATACACATCAGCTAAAAGAGTTAATCGGGGAGCTGTGGAGCGAAATGTTTGCGTACTAATGTACATCGAAATTTATGTGACGTAGAAAACGGAACCGCCGACTAGGGACGGTCTGAGGTTATGGTTTTTCTAAAACTCCCAGAATTATCACCCTGTCTGCTACGTAACTGCATATACGCGTCAAGCTGTGTTGGAGTGTTTGAACTGATAAATGCACACAACTGTCTAGCACTCCACATAATTGTGCCCCAACTGGTGTTTAAATTGACGACGCTGATACGCTGGACAAGGCTGCGTCGAGCCCGCCAGATATTTCACATGTTGACACCGCCAGATGGCGGTGCCAGCGAGCGGCATCAGCACCACGCGTCCGACCCACAGCGCCCCCCCCCCCTTCTCCCCCTCCCCCGGGGACCGCCCACGTCCGCCTCTACCCTCGGATCCAGCAAGACTGTGACCCCCCCCCCCCCCTCTCCCCCTTCTCCGGAGACCGCTCACGTCCGCCTCTGCCCTCGGCTCCAGCAAGACTGTGACTACGACCGGCTGGAGCTGCTGAGCGTGATGCCGGGCGATGAGCTGCGCTCGCACGGCACCTTCTGCGGCGGCAGCCCGCCGCCTGCCGTCACCTCCGAGAGCAACAAGCTACGCATCACCTTCTTCTCCGACAACTCGGTGGAGAAGACGGGCTTCGCCGGCTTCTTCTTCACAGGTGCGGCGCACGCGAAGGGGCGCTGGCGGGTGTTGGCGAGGGATGCCGGTGTTAGTATGCGGAAGGGTAATCCGTTGTCCGTCCCCTCCCCTCTCACTCTACACCCCCAGAATGACCCCGCGAGGTTATCGTACATGCGCGTCCACCAGTCCGCGGTTCGCTGACGGTCACCGGCGTGGCTGGCTCCGATTCAGACAAGGACGAGTGTTCGACCGACAACGGAGGCTGTCACCATCGCTGCGTCAACACCGTGGGCAGCTACATCTGCCTCTGCGACAACGGCTTCACCCTACACGAGAACGGCCACGACTGCAAGGAGGGAGGGTGAGCGGTGGGCGGGTGCCCCGGGCGTTGGGGGGGGGGGAGTCTTCTATGTCGTCGTTTCGGGAGGTGTGCTTTTTGAGGGGGCGGGACAGCTGCGCGCTAGCAATTTATGTAAGCCTGGTAGCTTGAAAGTGGACACTTGATTGAGCAGTGGCAGTATGATTATATCTCCTCGTCATGCTAAAGTTATGACATTTGGATTTGCTCATCATGCTAGATTTGGCTTTTGGATAGTGCTCACTGGTTATTGACAGCCGTAGATCTGTTAAATACATGTGTATAGATACCTCTGATGTATGCTTTAAAACTGAAAATTTGTGTGGTATCATCCCTGACGGCCGCGAAAAGGGGAAAGTGCACCCAGCTTTGCAATGGGTTATTTGATTAACATTTACGTAATCCGGTGACGCAAGGTGCCGCCATATTTAATTTCGCAGCTATAAACACTAAAAGTTCGAGGCATCAATAAGCTGACGTAGGGTACATCTTATATCTCAAAAGAAGTGAAATTATTGCTGCGCAAAGATTAAAAGCAAGACGAAAAATACATGTTATATAGCGTGCGACGCTGCAAGCTACAATGTGTCTGAATAACCATCTTTGTGTAGCAGCCTAGTCGCTTTAAAGATACTTCTCAGCTTTAACTTGTTATGTTGCTTGTATATGATAACGAACAGAAGTGAAAAAGAAGCAAAGCAAGAAAAGCCAGCAGCAAAATCTGGCGGCGACAAATTTTTGTATGTTAAATAATGACATTAAGCTGTGTTTGCCTCGGCGATTGCAACGAAACCTTCTGTTCTATTTAACGCCACCCTCGGCTCAATGTCCACACGACCCAGTTGAAACAGCCATGAATCTCGTGCGAACTTTTGACGCTATTTATTGCCAAACTCGCAGCAACTGGGTGTCACCCAGACTGCGCATTTCCTCTAGAGTGCCTGGGCTGAAATACAGCTACAGCTTGCGGCGAACTTTAGGAAAAGTATCTGTGGTCAGACAGAGCCCGCTTGGTAACAGGGGCCACACGGCACCCAGTGTATATGACCCCGAGTTCGTCGTGCGCGTCGCATTTTGGGTAGTGTCGTGTTCCAACTTGCGAGGTGGCGGCCTGTGACGCGGTGATGCGCAAAGGAGCGTCAGCGTAGCTTGGTTTGTGTACCCGTGTGGCGATCATGCCTTAGCCTCGTCACTAATGTGATGATATTTTTAAAACATTGTCGGTACTATTTTGACAATATGCTAAAACATATTGTCATCTTTATTGTGACAATATTTTAAAAGATATTGCCATCGGTATTGTGACAGTATTTTAAAAGATATTGTCATTACTGTTGTAACATGTCAAAAATGTTGTCATCATTATTGTGGCAATAGTTAAAAACACATTGTCATCATCTCATCACTATCGTCCCAATGCGCCGAAGTGTACCGGTTCGGAGCTGACTACCGTTCCCGCCCGGCCTCAGGTGCAAACATGAAATCGAAGCGCCGTTTGGAGAGGTGTCCAGCCCCAACTATCCGGCGGCGTACCCCGGCAAGAAGGATTGCGTCTGGCATTTCAGCACCACGCCCGGGCACCGGATCAAACTGGTAAGATCCGGTCTGGGCGCTCCTCGATAAGACGTCGCGCTCCTGAATTTGGCCAGGTGTGACAAAGCAGATGATTTTTCAATGGAAGACCATATGGTACAACGTGTGATTTGGCAGCCTACGACAGCTTTTGCAAGATCCTGGTGCGAACGGCACATTGTGTAAGTTGATTGGCTTTCTGTGATTGGCACTATGTTTAACAAACCTGTCGAAGTGCGAACAGTGTTGTAAGACCTTTTTATTCGGATATCAAGAAATGTTCAATTGAGAATTAAGTGGCTTGCGCGTCATTAGAAATATTGCATTGGTTATACAAACAAGTTCAGCTATTCATCTAAGGATGTAATTTTGAACAACTGTTATTGAAGTGGCTCAAAAGTCTACTGGAAACATTCAGATCTCGCACACAAAGTACTATGTTACTTAAGCACTCGCCATTGGAGTAATGGTGTACCAAAACCGACACTAATTAAGCCTTTTAAAAACAATGCCAGATCGCCCCGTTCGTTTTCTCAGGTGTTCAACGAGTTTGACCTGGAGCACCACCAAGAGTGCACGTACGACCACATATCAGTGTACGACGGCGACTCCGCCGATCACGTGCTGCTGGGCAAGTAAGTGCCGCTGCCGGCCGTCCAAACTCGAGGGGATGACGCTGGAGTCGTGGGTGGAGGGGGTCGCTACGTGGAGACCCGATGGCTTGAACTGTTGGCGGGCAGCTATGTTCTTTGATGATGGTCAAGCGATGGGTGGAACCTCTCGTGCGCCGTTTCTTTGACAGACCCCGGAACCCATGATGTCGGTCGCGTGGCCAGCGAACTACGCCCGTGTTAATACCAGCCGCGCCGGTCCGGGCGGCAGTCCTGGCTTGTGCCAGCCCGAGGTGCTGGCCTGAGGTGTTCACCCAAGGCCGCCCGGCGTTGCAGTTTCTGCGGTGCCAAGGCGCCCCACCCCATCACGGCGTCAAGGAACGAGATGTACATGACCTTCACCTCCGACGGCAGCGTACAGCGCAAGGGGTTCATCGGCGCGCACAGCACAGGTCAGGTCACGCAAGGTCAACGTCAGGCCACGGGTGGTCGAGGTCAGGCCGCTCAAGGTCACGGAAGTTCAAGGTCAGACTAGGGCACTGGGATGAGGAACATCAGTCGATTATGTCGCGGTAAGGTTAAGGTCTGATCGGGACTAGGTCACCCTGCGAAGGTCATTAATCATGGCGGGTTGCCGTCCACGGCAGGTCATTGTCAGTTCAAGGTAAGGTCAAAGGGCCAGTTCACTGGGACTGGTCATTTAGTTCAGTGTATTTTCGGCCAAGGCATCAAAGCAACAAGCCAACGTACGGCTGTATCACGATCAGAAGGCCAGATGATGATCCAACCTCGCTTGCAGTACACCAACAGCATACAACCTTACCCGTTCCGCGTCAGTGCCAGTCTATCTAGCAGATCTCCAGCGTCTCTTCACGACCCCCCTCCGCGTCGGCAGTGTGCGGAGGCTACCTGTACGCCGAGTGGGAAGTGCAGCATCTCTACTCCCACGCTAAGTACGGCGACGAGAACTACGACAACCGAGCTGAGTGCGACTGGACCATCGAGGCGCCGGTGGGCTACAACGTCCGGCTGAGGTCCGTGCGACACAGGCGCTCCATACGGGCGCCGCCATCTTGTTTTGTTTGCGCGATCGGCGTCGCCATCTTGTTTTTGTTTGGATCCATTTGGAGGGCATGGGTTTTTTTCGGGTTGGGGATGGTGAACCGCGCGGCGCTTGCGAACGGTGGAAACAATCAACAGGCGTTGGAAGCTGTGATGTGATGTGATCATTAAAGTAGACACGTTTTTTATCGTTAGGTTTGGTTGCCGCTCTAACTTGTTCAAAAAATTTGTTGACATGGAAAAGCCAAAAAAGGAAGTTCACGCTTGAGTGGTCCGGAATTCCTTGCGGTTTAATGAAACGCTTTTGGCACATCTTTGACGACAAAAGCAGTTGGCCTCTGCGATAAGGTTTCCAGGTATTCGGCAAATGTTCCCTCTGCTTTGTAACGCCATGACCCCATGTCGACCTATTTTGCGAGAGGCTTTTTTCAAGGCGGCGGAGTAGAAGGCTCAGGCCGTTGGAGATGTTGGATTTTTTTATTCTTCAGAAAAGCCGCCCACGCCACCATCAGAGACAAAACATCGCTCTCACCCTACCCCTTCTCTGAAACGCAACTTGTTTCAATCTGGCCTTTTGTCAAACAACGGAACAAAGTCGTAACTATATCGAGAGTGATCCCAAACATTTGACACTCTCCTCTCCCCAAGCTACTCAGACGCTCCACAGCTGTGCCGATGGAGCTCACTGCCATCTATCGACAGGTTTTTGACATTCGAGTTGGAGGACGAACAGGACTGCGGCTACGATGGCGTTGAGGTGCTGGATGGCTTCGATGAGACCGCGCACGTGCCCCACAAGTACTGCGGCAACCAGGTCAGTATGCACGTGGCCTCGACACGTGTCAGACACCTTGCGCAGAGCTGAGCTGCCGCTGCCGCTTGCCGCTGGGCTGATGTCACGATCTCAATTTATCACCAGGTAAATTATGCATGATCTCAATGGCTCTAATGGAGAGAAACACTTGCCGTGCTATGCAGAGATAGTGTCCAGATGCTCTAGTCATCAGGGAAATTCAAACAAAAGGCGTCCTTTTGGAAGCGTCTGGACGAGCTATAAATACCAAACCGATGTCAAGGCTGGGGTTCTCGGGTGGCAGCGGGCATCGGGGATAGGAGGGCCTGGACATGAAAATTAGACCCCTGGCATAACTCGGACCGTTACGCGCAGTATGATTTTTGCTCCGAAAAGAGTTGCCCGGACGTCGCGAGTATGAATTATTGAGCCAAGACGTGGCGTTGCGTTACTGGTGGCTGCCGCATGCTCGTTGGTCTGGCGTGCGGATGTCATACCGATGGCCCAACCGTTCCCTTCGCCAACAGAATGGGGTGGGGAGTACTTCGTTGGACATTTTAGGCCGCATGATGCAGGTCTGGTGCTTATCTTGCGTTGAGCGTGAGGCGTCAAAGTCCCCGTGATGCTGCGTCATTCAGGCAAAGTCTCGGTCGAGGTCAAGGACAGCCTTGTTTTGAGTGCTCCCACACGATATTCCGACGTTGCCTACACCATTAAGCGCTTAGATTCAGAAGTTTGTGCTTCTGAGATGCCATTACAAACCAACAAAAAGGAACTGAGGGATCACAAAAAGATGCCGATAGCTTGCGTTTGTTGTGATGATGTGTCATCTACCTGAGAATGCGTGTTTCATAGGCTGTCACATACGTAGCATGATTGGATTGGATGGGTTTTCTTTGCCGCGCGATTTTGCGCTACCAGACTTGCAGTGTCATCGGGAAGAATTCGTCCCAAGGCCGGTTTTTCACTTCTTGTCTTTGAAATTCATCCTGGAGCGTAACTGAAAAGGATTTAGATGAGCCAGTATTGATAGCCGTTTTCCTGATGGAAGAAAGGAGAGAATGGAGAGATAGGTGTAGAGAGGGATGGGAATAAATGAGAGGGAATGTAGAGGTAGATGAGAATGAATAAGCCAGAATGCAGCAAAAGATGATGATGATGGATCAGAGATGATGACATCTATCTTTCCATTATCCTGTTTATTCCACGAGGAGTAAGGCAGCTAATGCTGTCTCAGTTGTATAGCCATATGCATAATGCTGCTCGCAAAGGCGTTTAACGACTTACGTATTATCGAAAAGTCTTTTGTTTAAGGATTAAGGTTATGTTACTTTGCCGTCCAGTTTTTCTTAATACGAAGTATTTTATGGGAGCAGGCCGATGCACCTAACTGCTCTGTGCGTCTCGCCCGCCGTTTGGCATTTGTGCGTATCTTTAACAACCGAACACAGCGTGCGAGGTTTGAGCGAATCGAATCAGGGACAGGCGGCGCTGGCAGCGTGCACAGCCGGCGTTCTGTAGGTGATGGTGGGTACGAAAGCGCAACCTGACGCAACCCCCCCCCCCCCCCTGTTCTTAGCTCAAACATTCCTCCCTTATACGCGTAATTCCTAAGCGCGCACGCTCAGAACCCAAACCATGGCGACAGGCTTAGCGTTTCGTCATGCCATTGTTCAGGCTTGGCTCCGAGAAAACAGCCACCGAGTGGGCCCCCGTGTCAAATTTCTTTCGCTCCTTAAGCCAGCTCTGCCTGTCATGTGCTTTGATGGATGCCTGGACTGTAGATTGAACTGCGTGAGGCCGGGGCCCGGGCGGGGACGGAGGTTGGGAGGGTACCAGCGACAGATCCCTCGCCTGGGACAGCCGCCGTGGGGAGAGGAAAGGGGAGGGGCATTCGTTGAGACGGGCATGAACAGTGAGGCGATGCGTGATGCCGGGTCGAGTTCACGCAGGAGCGGCGATGGTTTGACTAGGCCTTAGGTATTTATGAAAGTCGGGAGAGATGGATGATGTCACCGAAGTACGACCTCAAACCTTCAAGGTCATCCAGATCTGTCCCATTCGGATGAGTTAAGCTAGGGCTCCACTCACGTTTGTACCGCTACTTTAATTATGCTTGAAATGGCCCGATCAGTGCGGGCACAGACGCCAATCCTTGATTTTGATAGTTTAACGAAAGGTTCATGGCTCTGATATAAGAAACTTGGTCTTAACGCCTTAAGACGACCCTCCCTTAAATGTCATTGATTTCACCACCAGCTGTGACACCATCTGAAGCCAGCTCGGATGACCGTTAAGCCGGTAGTCATCGGAGAAATCCGCCGGCTCACCAGCAAGGGAAGCAATTGTAGTTATCTTTTCTGCCTTTGAAGCCAGTGAACCCGTAAGACTGATGCCAATAGCCACCGACAGTCTCAGACTTTTGATAAGGAAAACCAGTTGTGTCAGTATAATGGTCACCGATAATGCCACAAGTGATGTAAATCAAGCATCCGTGACAGATCATGAAAAAGAATATGCTTGGTGAATCGTGAAATTGAGGAGCTCAATCTCAGGGTTCAGGAAGTGAATGCAGCAACATTCATTGTCTACGCTCGCTAATATGACCCTGTATTTGGCTATTTTTAGTAGCCGAAAAGCGCTCCGGTTTGCTGGGATGCTCTCAGCAACATTGATTACTCAGAAAAAAGTTCAACTCTGTCCGTCTGCAAGCAAACGCCAAAAATCGGCTTTGAGCTCGCGTGCTTTGCACGTAAATCAATGAAGGGCAGGGGTTCGGCTTGCAGAAAAGATTCCGGGAACGCCCGTCAGTTGTGATGGGGCTTCTGGTCGTCTGTCTGTAAAAGTGCAATACGTGGTACAGTTATGTTGGGTCCACTTAAGCCAAAACGTCAGTGCGCCCGGAAACTGAATAGTTGGAGAACCCTTGGTGAACTGGAGAACAGGACCGATGTAATCAAGGCCGGGCAATGCAGATTGTCGTTATGCAATTAATGAACGCGCCTCTCTGTCTATGTCTCCGTCTCTGTCTCCCAAAGCGGAGCTAGGAGCGAAAAAAAACAAGTGTAATCAGGTAAATTGGCAGTCATTTGTTGGTCGTTTGGTTTGTTGCCGTTTCCTGATTGGTTTTCTGACGTTACAGGTGCCGCCACCCATCGTCTCCACACGGGAGGTGCTGCGCGTCCTGTTCAAGTCGGACGACACCATCAACTCCAAGGGCTTTTCGGCAGCCTATGAAATTGTTGACAGCAACGCCATCGAAGACATTGAAGCGAGCAAGAAGCATTGAACTCAGCGGCCATCTGTCGTCTGGAACGCTGCGTTCAGAGCCAAGATGGCGGTCCTGGTGATCACTGCATTGTGATGGGTTCCAGTGTTACCGGGTTCACTCGACGACGCTAAGTTTATGAGTGCTACGTAGTGCGCTCCACGCTCTTGGGAGTGCCGGTGCTGAGAACTCTGTACACTGATGAGTGTCTGTGCTGTTGGGTGCACTGTGGGCTGGAGCGACGCTAATGCCGTCGAGCGCTTTCCCCAGCCAGATGCGGACGGCGAGCCCACCCCGCCTCTAACAGGTGTCACCACTGCCTCAATGTGCAATGGGGACTGCCGTCTTGTGGATTCCTTACCGATGTTTTACTCGCAGTGGACTGATTTCAAGCTTATTGGACGAGGTGAAGATAATAAGCCGTTAGATGGTTGTTCCATGTATTTAAGTTCCATTTGTTTACCTGTAAATGACCCACTCGCCGGTGTACTATGACAAACGATGCTGCTCACTATCAGACAGTGTTAGTATTTTCATATGTTTTGCATGGCTTGTACCCTGGTCTTGCCTCTCATTCCACGTTGAGGGTCTCTGGTGCTATCCGCGTCCAACCAACCACAAAGCCCAGTAAAAGCAACGATTTGGCATCCCCTGCGTACCAGATGGTTTTAAGAATGGTGTCAAGGCGGAAAATGCTTCAGAAGTTGTCGGCTCTTTCCTGCTCCCATCATTGTTTGACTATTCACGCGTAGCAAACACGATAGCAAGAGACTTCCCTGCCATCTAACATATGCGTTTGATGGTCTTATTCCACTATCTGTCGACCATAGCAATGCAAAGTGCTGAGAGTTTTGTCACCAGGAGTGTCTCTGATAAGCGTGTTTCGAGGATTATTTCACCCCTTCACCTGACAGTTTTACAGCAGTTTCAGAATCCTACAGGATTGACGCATTAAATACGATTGGTTTGACCAGTAATGCGTGCAAGGTTGATGCTTGGAGTCTGACGTCATTAACAAGTAGCAGTGCCAAACCACTTCTAAGCCGTGTGTGTAGGGTAGGTGACCCTTGGCTATGGCGCGGTGACGCTCCCCGTGTATTTGTTCACTTCACTTGTCTCACGTGCCAGATGTGAATGACCCTGGCTAGCCAGAGCTGTGCCAAACGCCGAGTGTCTGTGACGGTGTGACTCTCGAAATAGTGTGTTCACACGAGCTAGGACTAGCGATAGATGTATTATGCTATTGTATTTAGTATTAATATTTCCCCGATTGTGTGCTGTGGCTGCGGCTCCAGTCAAGAGACCACCACCCGCGACCGTCGTATTCCAGTTTCTCAGTTCAAAAGAACGGACAGGTGACGCGCTGGCGGCAGAAGTTTAGTGAGTCGCCGCCCTGCTCGCCGTTAGTGAGTTAATGAACGCGTGCTCTCCTTAAAACTCGCCCGCGGCTGTCTCCTCGACGTGGCTTTTTGCGTTATCACAGTGAGTTTATGAACGCGCTCTCCCGTTCAAGCTCGCCTGCGGTTGTCACTCAGACGTGATCTTCCTGACGTTATCACAGCGAGTTTATGAACGCGTGCTCACCTTCAAACTCGCTTGCGGTTGTTCCTTAGACGTGGTCTTTCTGGCGTTATCACACCAGGCAGCGGAGTGCTGGCCGTCGCCCGTTCGCTGTATGTGTGTCTGCGTGTCAACAGGGCAGTCGAGCCAACTGATGGGTGTGACGTCAGAGCCCTCTGTGGTGCGCCAGAACCATGCCCGGTGCGTCGGATATGCCACCGGCGCCGGCCACTCCCACCACACAGTGTGCGTCGTATTTGTACTTAATTGCTGGATTTTTCGAGCGGCTGATAGACGCCCTGCAGCGCGGCGGTGACACCAGTCAAGTGTGGCAGAGGTTTTAGATCACTAATACAATTTACACTGTGGTATCTCCCGTTCGTTTTGCTGATTTTACGCCTTGAAGGGATGAGCGAGTCGGGGGGTATGCAGTCTGGTAGCGATGGGACGGTTTTGTGGCGAGTGAGATCACCCGTTTCATTTGTTTCGCACGCTATCTTGATGCATGAAAATTTGAGAACTGCCGCTTAACTGAGAACACATCGAAGCAAATGTAGTGCATCCTTTACCTCTGACGCCCACTGCGTCATGGTGCATGTAAACGCTACGGGTTGTAAATCCTGAATCCAAAACCTCGGCCCATAACTAGGCCCGTCTGCCCGTGAACTGCCTCGACACAGTGTTCGCCTGGGCACATCGCCAAGCTTAATCCCGCATTGTTTTCCGTTGCCAAGAATGTGGTGGTTTTGCCGCTATTTATTGCAGAACTGAGGGTCGGCACACGATTCCAGTTTGCTTGAATTTGGATAGCTTTGCTGGTGGTCAAGATGTGGTCAAAGTTTCCCATGCCTTTACTTATGACTTCGTGTTCGTGATAGCAGCGGACGCGTTCACCTCGCAGTGCTAAGCATGGCTATGTTTGTTGACTCAGACAGAGGAACCAATCACTCACGATTTCGGGTAGGAGTGGCTTATCCAGAGATGGATAAAAAAGCACCAGAACCTTGAAGCCAGCCTCACGACGCCACTTTCGCACTTTACTAGGTAGCCTGCTGCGCGCTTTTGAGCACGCATTCCCTATTAAAGGGAGCGTTCTATGTTGGTTTGGGGTCTTAAACTGAAATCCCTATCTTGAAGAACTGTCCGTGCTGTTCACAGCCCTGCCTCTCCAAGACCTAAGCCCCTTTAGCTTCTTAGCTACACGCTCACGAAAATGGGGAGAGGTATATCGGGAAAGAATTTCAAAGTGACCTTGCCATGCATGACGTCATAATGTCATTCAAATCCTGCCACTCCATAAGCCATGCGGTGATCCAAAGCCGAAAAATCGTAATTGTTAAGACGTCTTTATCTGGTATTCGTGAGCGCGATTTCCAGATACAGCGGCCTCCAATTGGCACCCAATCAATGTTGTGCAATGTGCGATGACGTAATCAGGCCGTGACGCATCGGGGGGGGGGGGGGGGGGGGCATATCTCCTGAACAGAGAATTGTGCCGCTTAGAGCAGTCTTTTCCACTTAAAAAGTATGCCAATAGTTATAGTCAGCTTATTTAGTCATATCTGATGCTTGCTTCAATATCTTCAAATGTGAAACATTTCCCTCAAAGGGAGTATCCCACCTTTTTGTGTTTTTCACTTATTGTTACATCAAACGCACACGACTTGATCCTTAAAACCAATTTTCTCGAGACGCTTCTGAGCTCAGAATTTCGATTTGAAGTAAGCCCTGCGGGAGAAATGTAATTGGGCTTCCTGTTCACCACTATGAAAGTAATACATTGCAATTATTTTTTTCCAGCGTATGAGAAGCGCTTGAGCTTTGGGAATGTAGGTAACACATGGTCCATGTGACTCACTGGTTTCAAGTTTCAGCCAACCAACTACTCGATAACAGACCCCTGCGCGCTGGGTTAATGACAAACCTTTTATTCGGACCAGTAGAGGTGCGCACGGTCGTGGTGATGACAGTGGTCGCTACACCACGGAAGAAGCGCAGTGTCGCTACAAAGCGTTGACAGCGCAATTTGGACGCGGAAGCAATAAACATTGATATATTTATTATGCCTTGTTGGCACTGCAGAGATACTATCCAGTGCTATTAATAGACTTCACTAGATCTGAGCTTCCACTAGAGAATATTTTTCAAACATTCCTCCAAAGGTGGGACACTCCTTTAAAGGCAGACAAAAAATAACCGATGGCTCGCGCACCGGCCGCAGGCTCGGGGTGCCGATAGTGAAGTGGCTAACGCGTCTGGGTTAGCCGTAGCGCGAATGGAAAACCAAAAGTATAAGGTACGGCTTCTCACGGCATCCGCCCTCCTGCCAGGGTGAGAGGCAAGCGACGCCAGGTAGCTTCAGCAGCTGAATGCGACCTTAAGCCCCAATGATCACGACCGGAACCGGTACGTGCTGCCGTGCCAATGTGCTTGTGCTTGACGTGCCAATGTGCCAATGACGTGCCAATGTGCTTCTAGCTGTGGCTAGCCGAAGCGTCGCATGGCTCTGTCGGTGCCCAGAAAAGTCACGTTCTTCGCTGTTACCAGCGATGGGTCGTAAACGTGATATGTGCGCGCGGCACCTGCGTTTTGCTGGCTGAATGACGGGATCCCAAAAATAGATCCGGAGGGAATTCGGAGGCGGATTTAAGGCATAGGCTGTGAGACAAGACAATGAGGGACAGTAAGCCAGTAGGACAATGGGCTGCCGGGTGTCAAATAATTCCCATTGGTTCACGTGGCTGCCCCTGCGGTACATCAGACGACGTAATCGCCTACGGCGGTCGCCGACTGATGTTCATTCCTCGATGCCGAGGCCGGCGAGATCAGGCGGATCTATTGACGGCGCTGAGGCGCCGCTATGGCCAGGGAACCGGAACCCCCGGCTGCGCCCCTCCTGTAGAGGCTGCACCCCTCGTGCAGAGGACGTCCCGCCTCTCGCGCCGAGGCGGCGAGACACGGGATTTGGGTTAAGCCCCGGTGCCTGGCGGAGTCTCAGGGTACTGGGCGAGGCTTAAGACAGTTCACGTACAAGCTGGCTTCACCGCTGTCACCACAATAGCCGAGCCGCAATCGTCGCTCACCATTACCATCAATTCCCACTGCCCAGTCAATGTGAAACACCCAAGGATGCGGTCCAGACAAATGTGCTAGTGTTCTCTCGCGACGCGGCAAATCACGCGAAGCGCCGCGGATGGCATGAGACCGAAGCGTGAGGTGCCGCCCTAAGGTGACATCGCTGTGACCTCATGGTCGTCTCAGGTGACTGAGTCAGTGGCACAGTCTCGGTGGATGGGGGCGGGGGTCAGGGCATGGGACGCCTCCCCCACGCCCACTTCTTTTATTTTAGAACCTTGGACGACTCCTTCGGTTATCTTATGACGAGTGCTCACTGGCTCCGGATCGCCCCTCCCCCCATCCCCATCGAGAATATCCAGACTGCGACCCTGCGTGAGGTGCACGCCGACCTCGCGCACAACTCGCCCGGAGACCGAGACGAGCCTGCGCCCTTCTTCCCAGCCGTGGCCAGCCACCGCCCCCGAGCGAGACCCCACGCCCGCGAGATCACGTGATTCGCCCGGCCACGTGGTGGGCACCACTAAGCCAACCGCCAGTTGTTACATCCGGCATGGTGGTCCATTCTCGGCAGTTGCGGCATTTGTTTAGTTTGGGTGAGCCTCAAGCATCCTCCTTTTGTGGGCCAGAGGCCTCAGCGTCGCCAGGATTCGACGCCTGAGCGGCCGAGCGATGAGGTGCGAGGGACGAGGGGCTGGGTAGCTGAGTCCAAGCCGGTGCAACAGCTTATTACCGCTGCCACCACCTGCCCACGCGAGGCCCAGGCAACAACGGCTTCCCGCTCCCCTCCTTCATTGCTGGAGGCCAACCCGACCACTTCGCGCTCACACCTCCTCCCAGCCGTGTGGCAGCCAGCCTCAGACCTTCTCCCAGCCGTGCGGTAGCCAGCCTCAGACCTTCTCCCAGCCGTGCGGTAGCCAGCCTCAGACCTCCTCCCAGCCGTGCGGTAGACAGTCCCGGACCTCCTCCCAGCCGTGCGGTAGCCAGCCTCAGACCTCCTCCCAGCCGTGCAACATCCAGCCTCAGACCTCCTCCCAGCCGCGCGGCAGCCAGCTTCAGACCTCCTCCCAGCCGTGTGGCAGCCAGCCTCAGACCTCGCAGCCGTGTGGCAGCCAGCCTCAGACCTCCTCGCAGCCGTGTGGCAGCCAGCCGCGCCGCCGTGCGCGTTCTTGACCGTTGGCCGAGACCGGCCGGCGGCCTTCCACGGACCTGTTCGCCGCGGGGAGTGGACACGGATGTCGTGGCGGCCAGAGCTTAGCCGCGCCCGGCTGACGTGCTGATGTCAGAACAGGGATGGCTCGCTCGCGCGCGCGCGCCGCGGGGATCAGACGGACAACGGTTCGCAAGCGCCGGCTTTTGTAGCCAGGCACGCGCAGCCGTCGCCTTCGGTTTCATGTGGATTGTGTCCGCATGGTTGGAATTGTGCCCAGCCAGGCTTGGTTGCGTAGACTCTTTTGTAGCCAGGCACGCGCAGCCGTCGCCTTCAGTTCCGTATGGATTGCGTCCGCATGGTTGGGATTGTGCCGAGCCATGATCGGGTGCGTAGACTCTTTGGTAGCCAAGCACGCGCAGCCGTCACCTTCAGTTCCGTTTAGATTGCGTCCGCATGGTTGGGATTGTACGGAGCCAGGCCTGGGTGCGTAGACTCTCGTTCTTTGCTTTCAGGGCCTAAATTTTTCAGAGCCTAAAAGCGCTTACCTTCATCAGGGCAACCATATCCGTGCAAAGCAATTGAAAACTGAGAAATGATTTGGCAGCTTTTGTTTTGAAAGGCTGTTTCCTCGACATCATGGGCAAAAAAGAAGAAAGCTGGTCATTTGTGCCAGTAATGCCAACCCTTCTTGGATAAATCTTCTTTGCGGAGGTGCCTCCTGCCAATTAGACGTGCATGCTATGTGCCACAGTGTTCCATTTTTGTACCGACTTTTTTGCTTCTGCTGCAGTCAAGAACCCTACCATAGGAACGTAATCCAACCTTGGCCCTGCATCGTACAGTCGTTTTTTGCCTCAGATACCTCGATAATATGATCTCCGCCAACGATGGCAAGGGTTTAATGTCGCGGATGTTGCACAGGTCCCAATCGGCTGTTTGTGCCACGCCAGCGCCAGTTTTTAGGGAGACCAACGAGATGGCTGCAAGGTGCAGTGATATGGACGAATGTCAAGTAATGCACATGACGATCGGATGACTCGAGAGCCATACAGGTGTCCACCAGCGACAGCTCCACATGCTTTTTTAAGCATCATTGCGAACGTGTGGCTGTGATTCGATCTGATGTGATTACCGTGAT